GCTGGAGGCACAGAGGTGCGACAGTGCAGCTGCCTGCACTCCTGCACCAGACGCCCGTCCGCACGGAAGCCGCACGGAGAGACCGCCTCCCCCTTATACATCCTCCAAACAAACGCAGCAGCAGCAGCTGAAACAGAAACCAAACCCGCAGCAGCAGCAGCACCAGCAGCAGCAGCAATCGATAAACGGACACGAAACACCAGCAGCAGCAGATGAAACAGAAATCGATGCAGCAGCAGTGGCATATGAGGCAGAAACCGAACCAGCAGCAGCAGCAGAAGCAGCAACAAATAAAACAGCAGCAGCTCAGGCAGAAACCAACAAACCAGCAGCAACAGCTGAAGCTGAAATCGAAGCAGTTTCAGCAACGGATGGCAGTGCAGCAGCCAGAAAAGCAGAGCGTTCGGGTGTACCGACAGGGGAGGGAAAGCGGGGATCGGCGTCGGTATGTCAGCGCAAGTGAAGGCCACGGTCACAGACGGTTGGAGGGGTCCTGCCGTTGCTGTGTAGCTGCGTTCAAGGCAGCTGAGTCGAGCGAAAGAAAGCGAGGGAAAGCTGCAAAAAAAAGAGGAATGGGGTTTCTAGAGGAGTGCTGAAGAGAAAATATTCAATAATTTAACCATAAATGCAACAAAAAACGAAGAACAAATGCAATTAACCCGAGGTTTCCACTTTTTCATTCAGAATTTGCAAATCGAGCTGTCGATACACCTGAACACAGCGGCGCGGGGCCGGGTATACCGCTGGTTTCCCGCGAGAAACTTCTTGAAATTTCTTCTTTTTTAAACTTAAAACAAGAATTTCAGTTGTCACAGTTTCCTGGTTTCTAATGAAATTCATTTTTTTACTGCAGGGCTGTCTGGCGTCCATTGACGCTGGCTGCATGCAGCAGCGCAGCAGACGAAGCCGACCCCCTTTTCTTTTCTTCTTTTTGAGCGATGGTGTTTGCATATCGAGTGATCAGAATATTTATCCTTCTCTTTTTCTTCTCATCTTCGTGAAACTCAAGGAAAATCCACGCTATTCTTAAGCAGCTTCCGCTGCTGTTGCAATTGCATGCATGCATGCCTGCATGCATGCAGAAGTTTGAACGTATGTAAGCAGTGGTTGTTGCTGCTGCTGCAGCAGAAATGGCGGTTTTGTATCCACCGAAGACTTGAATAAAATTCATCTGAGGCGGAGACGAGCAGAGCCCCTCTCTCGTTGACTTTGTTGCAAGGGAGAAGACACGGTGTTCGCTGCTGTGGTTGCTGAGCTGCTGCTGGTATTTATATATTTCTCTCAGCTTTAATGCATTTATTCTTCTCACTTGCATGCAGCTTGCCTGAGGTAGAAAGACAAAAACAGAGATCAACGACGCCCTGACGTCAACCGGTAGCGGCGGCGAGCCGCAGCTGCTGCTGCTGCAGCTGCTGCAGCATTCCCTAAACCAGCTGCAGCAAAGGGAAGACCAGCAGCAGCAGCAGCAGCATCAGCAGCAACAGCAGCAGGAAGGATAACAACAGCAGGAGCAGCAGTATTATTATTAATATTATTTTTTGTGTTTATTAATATTATAAAGATGGAGGGGTATTCAAGCCAAGGAGGATACGGTTTAGCGGTTGATTCGGGTTCTCCCATGGGTGTTGGTTTTGAGGGTTCAGAAATACACCATCATCATCAGCAGCAGCAGGAGCAGCAGCAGCAGCAGCAGCAGCAGCAGCAGGAGGAGGATGACGAGCAGCAGCAGGAGATAGATCAAGAAGATACATGGGCTGTTGTTGGAGCTTTCTTTGAGGGCAAGGGTTTGGTCTCCCAGCAAGTTGAAAGTTTCAATGATTTCGCCAGCTACAAACTCCAGGAAATCATAGATGCTTTGCCCCCCATAGAAATCAAGTATGTAAACCCTAAACCCTAAACCCTAAACCCTTATTTTATATTTATTTTTTTTTTTTTTTTTTTTTTTTTTTTTTTTTTTTTTTTTTTTTTTTTTTTTTTTTTTTTTTTTTTTTTTGAATTATACTTGTGCAGAAAACACACTGAAAACACTCAATGCAGCTCCTTCTATACAGATATTTCTTTGTCTTCTCTTTCCCTCTTAACCCTAACCCTATTCTTTTATTTGTTTATTCTTTATTGTCTAGTATTTATGATTTGTTATTTATTATTTATTATTTATTATATATTATTTACAGTGTATTTTATATTACATAATGTGTATTATTGAATACACACAATAAACCCTAAACCCTAAACCCTAAACCCTAAAAAACAAACACTCCCACAAAACAAGAACCACCAAGCACGAATAACGAAGCGCAGCAAAACGAACAGAAAAAAAAACAAAGTAAAGGACAAGTGTGGGGTGTATGTACACCGCAGGCCTTCACCGCAGTACAGACCCGAAGAAGACGTGGAGCTGGGCGTGTGTTACCGGCTGAAGTTTGGTCAGCTTTCTCTCAACCGCCCAGCAGCACAAGAAAAAGAAGGAATGCAGAAAAACCTTTGGCCGCAAGAATCAAGAACAAGAAACCTCACATACAGCAGCTCTCTCTTTGTCTCTATTGAACAAACTACTTATAGAATTGATCCTGTTACTAATGAAGAGGTATGGTTGTTTATATATATATATATATATATATATATATATATATATATATATATATATATATATATATATAT